GTTCTTCTGGACACCTTTGGACACATGGGCAAGATGAAGAGACTTTGTCAAGCGCACCTTAGCATTCAGCAACAACAAACACAACTCCCCCAGAGGCTGTGCCTTCTTTCTGAAGGAGGTCAGAAGAATATGCTTTGCCTTCATTCTGCCTAAAATTTGTTTCCATCCACTTACGTAAAAATATAGCTTTATCCACAGAATAAGGATGCTTCCAAATGAGGCATTTATTACCTCATTCACAGAATTTTTCTGGGGGTAAAATTTACAGCCAAACCAACCAATTCACTATTAAGTTTGGAGAGGGTTTTTTTCTGTCCAGAAAAAAAATAAATAAAAAGATGGAGTAGCTAACACAATGTCTTCTGATTTATAGGATTTACAATCCCTCTTTCTGAAAGTGCCCACCAAGAAGGATTGAATAAGTTAACAGTATTGGTGGCCTCTGCCCTGTTTTATCCTTTTCCATTCCATTCTTATGGTGATGACTTTCAGAAATTGGTAACAGCTCCCACTGTCTTTGGTTTTCTTTTTATATACACACACACACACACACACAATATATATATGTGTGTGTGTGTGTGTGTGTGTGTATGTATATGTGTATATATACTGTATATATAATTTTTATTAAGAATTTTGATTATAATAGTAAAATCTAATACAAACTAAACTTAAAGAAAGAAAAAAGAAAGAGATTCTTACTTTCTCTTTCTTCTCTCTTTCTTTTTTCTTTCTTTAAGTTTAGTTTGTATTAGATTTTACTATTATAATCAAAATTCTTAATAAAAATTATATATACAGTATATATACACATATACATACACACACACACACATATATATATTGTGTGTGTGTGTGTATGTATATGTGTATATATACTGTATATATAATTTTTATTAAGAATTTTGATTATAATAGTAAAATCTAATACAAACTAAACTTAAAGAAAGAAAAAAGAAAGAGAGAAGAAAGAGAAAGTAAGAATATATCATAGAAAGAGAAAAGAAATATATAAAGAAGTGACTTTGAACCTTCATTACAACAAGCATAAACAAATTTAGTGACTCTTCACCCCCTCTAAGATTAACCAACATTTATCTCTTCATCCCATATCCCATCTTTTATCTATAAACAAATTCATAAAACATCATCTTTTCAGTTCTGGTGTCAGCAGAAAGTCCATAAAGGATAGCTAGAAGTAACAATATATCTTGTTTTAACCTTAATCAAATAAACCAACTCTATATTCCTTTCTTTACTTCTATCAGAAGTAAAGATTAACATTAAGGTCTTAATTTTTAGTTCATTCAAATATTGCCACTGGATTTGATTTCTCTTCATTTCTTCTTTGTCCCATCACACAGAGTTTTTCAAGGCTTTAAAAAGTCTCTTTTGTAAATCCAATAGGAAAAAAAAAATATTCAGGTCACTCTCTTCGTTTGTCATTTTTATTTCCCTTTTAAAGTTTAAAACCTCAGCCAGTTTCTTTTGTAGATCCAGTGAAACATCCTTTTCTAAGTCATTATTTTGGCCTGTCAGCTGTAAATCCACTTTTGATACCATCTCTATCTTGTCAGATAAAATTTGTTCTACATCTGTTATTTCTTCAATAACCTCTTTTGGACATACTCTATCCATAGAAGCAGACATCATTACTGACATTGTTGATATTGTGGCTACTATTTTCTGATTCCATTTTTCAGAAGTCTCTTTCAGTATTTTTACCATTATAATATTTTGCATCATTTTGTAGGTTTGTATATCTTTCCTCTACCTAAAATCTTTAGTCTCTTCTAGTGCCCAGTTTTTGAAATCATGAAATTGCCATCTTTATCACGTCTTGTAAAAACCAAAACAGGATATATTTCCCACAAGAAGCTGTTTGTTCCAAAATCTTATTGTAAAAGTTTCAATATTCCAATTTTATCTGGACCCTTAGTCTGTTT